CATTTAAGTTGTACAACAAAAACTATACGGAAATAAAGGAAATATGTCGCATACTTTAGACGAGTAATCTAGACATTTTAGTTGTACAACAAAAACTATACGGAAATAAAGGAAATATGTCGCATACTTTAGACGAGTAATCTGAAATCTAAAATTCAAAACCACGATAGCATATTATTAATTTTAATAAAACATGACCAGATAGAAGTAGATTTAAAACGGTATCTGTTAGGACCTTGAAAGGAATCAAGTATCGGATCCACACGAGTAATACTTTAAGTGTATCTATATATAAGTGTATGGCTCTAAGATTACAATCGTTAAATGAGGCACGTCAGTATCGTTCTCTGTTCACACATTGACTGACTACATCGCGCCTGTCGCGCCGCCTGCCCAGGGCCGGCATGCTCCAACATCTCCCTCCTTCAGAGATTAGCATTGGGTGTAAGACTTGGCCCTCGGGTCTAGGACGAGTTTCCCGGGACGCATTCTCTGTCGCTGAGGTCAAGCTGACGTCTCGCTCGGAATAGGTTCCGGCTGGTTGCCGAGGTCCTCTAGTGGAGCGGCAGCAGGACACGGTTGAAGCTCCGTGTTGTCGTGAGTTGCGTCAGAAGTCATATCGGGCTCATAAAAGATCCAATCGTTAGCGATTGACGGATTATGAATCTCCTGGGTGCCACCTCCCTTCCAAATGTGGTTGATGTGGCGCTCGATCGATCTGCCATTGTCAAGTAACACCTGGAAACGAGAATTAGATAAAATGTGTTCGATAACACCGAGTTCTCGCTTGTCTTTGAAGGCCACGATGACCCGGTCACCAGGTTTGAGAGTTCTAGAGCGGGTTCCGTGATGTTGTTCAAATTGTCGTTGCATGTTCTGATTTTTTATCGACAAATCCTCTAAAGCGGCAGGAGACGGTTTCCAGGATGATGGAATGAGTTTAGAGAACGGGGAATTTATGCATCTGCCGAAGAATATTTCTGCTGGAGATTTCCCTTCCGGTGCTGCTGTGCACCGGGTATATCTATAGCTGTATAGGAAATCTTGCAATTCTTTCTTCCAGTTAGAAGGGTTCTTAGCAATAGCCCCTTTAACCGAGTCAACCATCCTTTCTGCCTGACCGTTGGATTGAGGGTGGTTGACGGCGGTAAGAATGTGAGAAATCTGCATCTCTTTGCGAAACTGCGTGAAAATGTCAGCTGTGAATTGTGTTCCATGATCACTCACTAAGACGTCAGGAGGACCGTATCTGGAGAAAACTTCGCGGCAAAGTTCGACGGTGCGTGAGGATGAGATTGTGGGTGTAGTCATTACTTCGATGAATTTTGAGTAGGCATCTACAAAGATGAGTAAGTATTGACCTTCTATTGGGCCTGCGAAATCCAAATGCATATGTTCGAGAGGCTTCTCTGGGATTGGCCATGGACTGATGGGCACCTTGATAGGTAGCTTCTTAGTCAAGGCGCATGCGTTACATTGTTGGACGAGACGTTCAATGTCTTCCGAGAGTTTTGGCCAGTAAACAAATTCACGAGCTAATTGTTTCATTCTTCTTATTCCCGGGTATCCCTTATGGAGAGATGAAAGGATATCGGGTTGCATACTCTTAGGTATGATTACTCTATCACCAAGAAGTAAAGAGTTTGAAACGACGGATATGCAATCTATGCGTTTTTTGTAGTGTTCTACGATAGGAGAGCATTCTGTTGGAAAAACGTTGTTTTGAATAGCGTTCATGACTGTTTTCAAATCAGGATCTGAATCGGTAGCTGTCGCTAGCTGGAGACGAAGATCTTTTCCGAAAGTATCTATTGCAGAGTCTCTGATGAGGTGAATTTCGTTTTCCGTAGTTCTGATGCTAGCAACTTGGAGCTCCTCCGCGTTGTCGTCTCGGAATTTACTCATAAGGCGAGAGAGAGCGTCTGCATGACCGAAATCTGTAGTACGAATATACTCTATCCTGAAATCATAGCCCAAAAGTCTAATTGCCCAACGTTTGAGGCGAGCAGCAGTTGTAGATTTTAGACCTTTCATGTTTTCCGTTTGTAGCAAGGCCACTAGAGGTTTATGATCCGTTTGTAATATAAATTTCCTACCCCAGAGGAAAATATGAAAGCGTTTCACCGTTGCCACTAAAGCGAAGGCTTCTTTTTCGAGTTGGGAATAGTTGCGTTGAGCGTCTGTCAGGCTTTGTGACATGTGATAAACGGCTCGTTCGCGCCCGTCAGCATCGCGCTGAAGAAGGGCTCCGCCAATGCCTGTGGAGCAGGCGTCCGATGCGACGATGAGTGTTTTCGATGGATCATAATGCTCCAATAGAAGTGGACTGAGAAAGAGTTCCTTGATTTCCCGTAGAGCTGAGGTGTGTTTGGAATTCCAAATCCACTGTTGGTTTTTTCTTGTTAACTCATCCAAAGGTTTTTTTATTTGGTGGAGATGTGGTATGAATTTTCCATAGTGGTTGAGCATCCCAAGCAAAGATTGAACTTCAGCTACACACGAAGGATTTGGCATCTCCGCAATCGCGCGTGTGGATTCTGGATCCGCTGAAATACCTGCACTGTTGATAATAACTCCAAGATATTTGATTTCATCAAGAGCGAAACGGCATTTCTCGGGTTTTAATTTCCATCCCGCCTGTTCAAGTCGTTGAAGTGTTGTACGAAGACGTAGATCGTGTTCTTGACGTGTGGATCCTGCGACTAATACGTCGTCGATATAAGCGTATACTCCTTCTAAATCAGATAAGGTGGAGTTAATGGCTTGTTGAAATATGGCTGGAGCCGTTTTAATACCAAATGGTAGGCGTTTAAATCTAAATAATCCTTTCGGAGCAGTGATGCACATTTGGCTCCCCGGCAACACGGAATCCAGCCCCACCACTTTTACCCCCACCTACCGGCATCGAGTCGGCCGTCTTCGCCGCGACAGCGAGCGAGACAGCGAGAAGCAGCGCCCGTCCTTTTCGCTCTACCAGTAAATCGTAAACACATGCGAGTATTAGAGCGAAAAGGACGGCCGCTCTATCTCGCTGTCTCGCTTTCTCTGCTAGTCGCTTGTTATAAGCGACCGAAAACCGAAAATGTGCTTTCTCGGCCGCTCGGCGTATTCTTGTATAGGGTATTCCGATCTTTTTTGCCAATCACTTTTGTATTCATAGAGCGGATTAAACTGAGTCGAAAAGTCCTCTACCATTTTGCAATTTTCGCAATAGTTTACAAGATATTCATTATTAAAAATAGCAAAATATTGGTCTTGAATAATTTTTTACTCAAATACTACCAACTTTACAGAAAAACTGCAAGAGAAAAATTATTAATTTTCTTCTCACAAAGTTTTGAGAATTTTTTCAGAATTTTTTATCAGCTTTTTAATACTGCATTTTCTTATTTTTATCAACATGAGAAAATATGGTATTAAAAAATTCTGAAAAAATTCTCAAAACTTTGTGAGAAGAAAATTAATAATTTTTCTCTTGCAGTTTTTCTGTAAAGTTGGTAGTATTTGAGTAAAAAATTATTCAATACTAATATTTTGCAATTTTTAGTAATTAATATCTTATAATATTAACTATTGCGAAAATTGCAAAATGGTGGAGGACTTCGACTCAGTTTAATCCGCTCTATGAATACAAAAGTGATTGGGAAAAGATCGGGATACCCTGTACAAGAATACGCCGAGCGGCCGAGAAAGTACATTTTCGGTTTTCGGTCGCTTATAACATGCAACTAGCAGAGAAAGCGAGATAGAGCGGCCATCCTTTTCGCTCTAATACTCGCATATGTTTACGATTTACTGGTAGAGCGAAAAGGACGGGCGCTGCTTCTCGCTGTCTCGCTCGCTGTCGCGGCGAAGACGGCCGACTCGATGCCAGTAGGTGGGGGTAAAAGTGGTGGGGCTGGATTCCGTGTTGACGGGGAGCCAAATGTGCATCACTGTTTCGGAGTGGTTATTGTAGTGACGTCCCGATGATTTTCGGCGACGACTATTTGCATGAAGGCATCACTGAGGTCCAATACACTGAAAAATTTATTGCCATTTAGTTTTGACAGAATGAGATCTACATTCGGAATGGGATACGGGTTAGATTTTAGAGCACGATTGACACCCGTGGAAAAATCTGCACATAAACGAATTCTATTGTCTGGCTTTTAACTATAATAATCGGAGTGCTCCAATCCGATTGATGCACCCGTTCGATTATGTTAAGAGACCCCAGACGATGTAATTCCGCTTCAAGGGGAGATTCCATAGCGTATGGTATTTGACGGCACGGTGTTTGGGTAGGAATAGCATTCTCAGATAACACGAATTTAGCCTGAAAGTTTTTGCACTCTCCCAAACCCGCAGAAAAAAGTTTTGGGAAAGATTTCATAATTTGATCCTTATCAATGCAAAATTGTGACTCAACGGGAGAATCAATTTTGCGCATGGTCCATTCGTTGTTGCCGTCGGCACACAATTCGTGGCACTTGAGGAGCGGCATGTTCCAGAGGTTAAGTTTGTCAATAACATTTAGACCGAAAAGATTTAAACCGTCACGCGCTACAACGTCTATGATTATGTCACCTTCACGATTGGCGGCTCGAATTTTGCATGAAAATCTACCGATAGTTTTTAGCGCGTAGCCACCAGCATGCTCTAGCACTTTGCATGTGCTGAGAGTCGGACTACCGAGGTGTAGCCATGTGTCTTTACCGATTGTTGTGACATCTGTTCCACTATCGAACTGAAATTGCACAAGTTTACCAAGGAGGTAAGTAGGAATAAAGATACGACGCTGATTATCGACCGATGCGATGGATTTGATCGCGGGTTGATCCGTAGGGGGCGGATTATCGACAGCGTGATTATCGGCCGAGGCACTCGAGCGACACACCTTCGCGATGTGGCCCTTTTTGTCGCACTTGTGACACGTCGCGTCGCGGAAAGGACACTTCGAGCGTAAGTGGGGGCTTCCACAGCCATTGCACTTTGAAGTGGGGAGCTGATTTTGGACTGCAGCTTTCGGCTTATTGATCGGAACTGTCGGAAGTTTCTTGAGTGTCTTCTTTGGATTCTTGCCTTTTCCCACAGCATGCACAGTTAAGGCCGTCTGCTCAATAGGTTTTGAAGGATCTTCCATCTTCTTCATGTTTGCAGATACATTGAGATGAGCCTCTAATTCGGTAGTGATGTCCTTGAGAGTGGCGTCTTGATTTTTTTCCACAACACGCAACGCCATTTTCTTCAAATTCTCATTTTTGCGGGAGAAACAGAGTGATTGAAGAAGTAGTAACACTCTCAAGTTATCGTCAGTGAGCTTGGAGCGCTCAAAATCTAAAGCGAAACGATTGATACGGTCGATGTGTTCAGTAATGGGGACTGTCTTATCGTATCTGTAGTTGAGAATCTCGATACGTTTTCTAGTAAGAGAAATCCTGTCGCAGAAAAGAGTTTTTAAGATGCCGATGAGCTCTTCTAATTTCATCTTGGACCGATCTCCGGGAGCGACGTGATCAACTAGTCAATCGAATTCCACAAGACCTAGTTTGTCTAAAAGTAGTCGAGTGCGCATCTCCGGAGGGAGACTCTGTGACTCAGTGACGAGAGTATATTCATGGCGCAGGAGCCATTTTGTGAACGGTCTTATCTCGTCGCCGACAGCGAAGGTGTATTTCTCAATGCGTGCACTTAACTGATTGTATACATCGAACGATTTGGAAGTAGGATCCTTGTTCTCACTTTGTGACTGTTCTTTGCTAAGATGCAGTTGAACCAAACTTTTGATGGCAGCCATGAGCGCTTCGAGTTCGTTGGTCGCCATGTTTTATTTTTCTGTAAAATCGAGTGCGCATCTCCGGAGGGAGACTCTGTAACTCAGTGACGAGAGTATATTCATGGCGCAGGAGCCATTTTGTTAACGATCTTGTCTCGTCGCCGACAGCGAAGGTGTATTTCTCAATGCGTGCACTTAACTGATTGTATACATCGAACGATTTGCAAGTAGGATCCTTGTTCTCACTTTGTGACTGTTCTTTGCTAAGATGCAGTTGAACCAAACTTTTGATGGCAGCCGTGAGCGCTTCGAGTTCGTTGGTCGCCATGTTGATGTTTTATTTTTTTGTGAGCACGTAGATAGATAATGAGGATACACACGTTCAAGAAAAAAAAGAAAAAAAAACCGCAGCGCCAATTGTTAGGACCTTGAAAGGAATCAAGTATCGGATCCACACGAGTAATACTTTAAGTGTATCTATATTTGGCTCTAAGATTACAATCGTTAAATGAGACACGTCAGTATCGTTCTCTGTTCACACATCGACTGACTACATCGCGCCTGTCGCGCCGCCTGCCCAGGGCCGGTATGCCCCAACAGTATCAAAGCTATATAACGAAAACGATAGACGAATATAAAAAATTTATCAAATATAGCAGGTAAGTAATCAGAAATTTACGATTAAAAACGATATTTAAGATATATAATAAAAACGATATAATGTGTGTTTCTAAGAAACTATATAATTTAATCCAGAAATGTCTCCATATGTTAGAATAAGATAAATGTTATGAAAAAATTACCGTATCTTACCGATGCCAACACAATATGACATTTATTATTTTATTTTAATTATTAAATAGTTAATTATTCAATGGTTATTAAATAGTTAATTATTCAATAACGTAAATAAATAATTAATTATATAACAACGGTATATTTTTCTATCTGGAGACTGGTAGTGTCTCGACGCTAACGATATTTAAGATATATAATAAAAACGATATAATGTGTGTTTCTAAGAAACTATATAATTTAATCCGGAAATGTCTCTATATGTTAGAATAAGATAAATGTTATGAAAAAATTACCGTATCTTACCGTTGCCAACACAATATGACATTTATTATTTTATTTTAATTATTAAATAGTTAATTATTCAATGGTTATTAAATAGTTAATTATTCAATGACGTAAATAAATAATTAATTATATAACAACGGTATATTTTTCTATCTGGAGACTGGTAGTGTCTCGACGCTAAGGTATGCGCAGCGACACTACCGTAGCTACTTTACCGCGAGTTGCGGGGGATTGAAATTATTAAATCTCAATAACGGCTGAACCGATCAGGTTCTACATACGCTCAATCGATAGCATCCACTCAAATTGTGTAATAAAAGTGCTTTTATTTTTTTCCTACGTGCTCTACCTGCGGAGATATTGCGACGCAAAGTACCGATGTGAAACTTTTCACTTATAGTCTAAGATAGTCGTCGTTATTATCGCCGTTATTCATCGACTAGCCAAATGTACAGTTGCACGTTTCGGCGCGAGAGTGCCCTAGTCGTCCAATCAGAATGTAATGGACACTTTGACGCGAAAGTGCGTTAGCGTATGATTGATGCAATGCCATGCAATAAGCGCTGGCGGTACACGGTGCATGGTAAACGAAATTATACGCTGGTATTAGTGATGCGGTCTCGCCGAGACGAGACGAGACTAGTTCAAATCTCGTCTCGGTTTCGATTTGGTCTCGAAATTTTTAGTCTCGTCTCGGTATCGGCTTTTTCTCGACAATGACAATCTCGTCTCGGTCTCGGTCTCGAATCGAGATTCTCAGTCTCGAATCGAGATTCTCGGTCTCGATAATCATAATAAATGTTTTTTCAATTTCTTCTATGGTCTGCAATTAAACTTAAATTATTTTCACTATTTTATTAATTAATTAAATTTTTTAATTATTTTATTAATTTGTGTTAGCAATTTCAATTTTTTGAAAAATAAATGAATATCTGGTTTAAAGGATATTTTTTCAATGATTTTATTTCAAGTTGTATTTTGTGATTATTATTATTAAAGATAAGTT